TACTAATATAATTTATAACATCTACAGACAACAGTAATTGTGTTTTGTAAAACTTTTTGTTTGCGTTTTTTGTCCAATACATATATGTATTGGATACCAGTATATATACCAGTTATATGCCAGTGAGATATCCCCCTTTGAAATTTTCCCTAACCGAAAAAGCTGATCGACAGGGACCACGTGTGTCCAAGTGCTATACAGTGACAATGTGTTTACTGTTGAGTTATAACTGGAAATCATTTCTACCATGATACATATTTCAATAAAAGCTAACTAGGATACAATTCTCTCGACACTAGCACATTCCTGTAACGATAGCAGTATTTCAGGTAAATGTTATTACCACAGAATTAGAAGCATTTTCTCGGCATGCATGCATGTATATCTAAAAAACTAAATTTATTGTACACGAATGCATAATATATGCAAATACCGTGTATCATGCATATCGGTCTAACAGTACATACGATGCAATGGAAAAGATACATTGGGTAGCCCTTTTCTGTTTATTATTCTGATATTAATGTGCATAAAAACATGCACATGCCATTTTTACTTTCTCTACAATGCAGCAAAAATATTCAAAATTTATTTACTTCCAAGTACTCTGCAGTTCTAGTTTGGGAATGATTTTTACATTTAAAACATGTATTTTCTCAGTTCATTGTATGTCCCAAAACTATGCTATCGGAGATGTATACATGTCGACAGCCAGGAAAAACACTCAAGTGTAACAAATGCATCGGGGTTTATATAGCGGGTACAGGTTCCTAAATAAATATGGCGGAATCAAAGAAATATGGCGGAAAGGGGCGTACAGGAATGAAATAAGTCGTACAAGGATGAAAAATAATGCCTATTTAAGAGTTCATGTCAGCTTTAAGATTATTCACAATCCTGGGGCCAGGTATTCTAATATATACCTTGCTGTACATTTTATCAGCATCTTTTTCTTCTGTCATGTTTTGTTCTGACATGATCTTTTGCTTAAAGAATAGAAAAAGAATGTTTTTGTACAGAGTGAAACTTAGAACAAAATAAATAAAAATGTGTTTCTGTTATTGATAAAACTACGCATGTGAGTTAAGGCTAGGTATAGGCGTTTCTATGCAAATTAGCTAATAAAAAAGCAAAAGAGGCATATTTATTATTCAGAGAAAGTTTTGATTTATTTTCTTATGCATATTTAGTACCCACGATATGTTATAGCCAGTACACATTATGACGTCATATTATGACGTCACTGATCTAATCTACTGAGGTAATAAATCACATCAACAAAACAGCTTCGGCGCAAGGGATTACCTTATTTAATTTTACATAAACGTTGTATAATGCTAAGAAGAATATTCTATAGATTAATAAAACTGCTGCACAAATCCTTTGCATTTTCTCATTTGATCGGAATTTGAGGAAACTTATACCGGACTGTACATTTTTACCATTATTCAACCTAAAACTTTACTAATAGAAATTATACAACTGAGTTGTTGATATTTGTGCAGCAATATCAGCAAACTTTGGAATATATTGTTTCTTAACACACCTTGTTTCAGTTAAATAAAATAGAGCATGCCCTTGCGCCGAAGCATTTTTGTTGATGTCCATTATAATCTTGTGTAGTAAAGTACAATGACGTCATAATATGACGTCATAATATGTACTGGCTATCTCATGTCGTGGGTACCAAGTATGTATTAGAAAATAAGTTTTAACTTTCTCTGTATAATAGATATAGTCCTTAGGCATTTTAATTAGTTTATTTGCATAGAAATGCCTATACCTAGCCTTAACTCACCTGCGTAACTGCATTGTTCATGCATGTAAATACGTAGGATGCATAAATGTTATTTTTCTAATTGTATACTAAATCAAGCCTTTATTGATGAACATGTATTTTTGTAATATATCAGATAGCTATGACAGTATTTCATTCTGTTTCAGTATAAAACATTTTATTTTTCATACCTCTATTGAGTAGTCTTCGAAAACGTTACTTTCTCTTTCTCTGGAATGAATTGAAACGATTTTATGAGAAACGTTTGATTCCCTGCAACTGCAACAAATTCTTTAAAGTTTTAAGGTATTCAATGTATAACGACCATATTTTGTACCTAATAAATGAATGGTCAGATGTATTTAATCATGGTAGCATTTTGAAGGTGTTATCATATAAAAATACTCCAAAGGAAGTTAGAAAATTTTAATTATTGTCCAATTAATTGCATATGGAATTTTACATTGAATTCTATGGGAAGCGCATGTGTTATTAAGATATTGTAAATAGTAATTTGAACTTTGAACACATCTCTTGGTGAAAATATGCATGAACTCTCTCTCTCTCTTTATTAAAATACATGTACGAAATAAAATGAATCATTTACAACAGTTATTTTGACAAAATTAAAATTTTCTTCATTTCATCAAGGGCAGATATCTATACAAAAACATTTAAGGTGCAAAATGGCCGGCCTTCTTATATGTTATCAGTCATGTGAATTTGGTTAATTTCACTTTCACCGTTATCTAGCAATCCATATTTAACTAGTTTAAAATGATTCAAAATTGTTCAATATCCCTTCGTTATACATTGAATACTTTAAATATTGACTTTTTTTTTACTTTTGAATTAATTTTACATTTGTTCTGTTTTCTTGTACTTTCATGTGTTAATTTTTTCCATTGTAAAAGCATGTTTGTAGAAATGCATAGATATTTCAATAGCTATTGATGAACAAAATACCCTTGCATTTCTAGCATTCCGTTCTTTTCGGCCATTTCCTCGGGCGTTTCTTGCTCGGGATCGACATCAAAATTATCATCGAACACGAGAACTACATGTACAAATAAAGTAAAATGTTGGAAAGTTAAACTCTTGATTGAAAATCAATGGTTAAAAAAACACCAAGCAAAAAATAAAAAAAAAAAATAAATAAATAATTACTAAAAAAAAAAATAATAAATAAAATAAAAAAAAATAATGATAAAAAAATAAAAAGCAAACAAACAATAAGAACCAAAAAATAAAATAAAAGTTTAAAAAAAAAAGTCAAAATTTAAGAGGGCTGGGGGGTTGTGGCCATTTTCAGACTATATTGATCTCCTTTAGAAGAAGAGCTCCATATAAAGATATACAAAAATGATCAAATTTTAAAATTAAAATGTATGAAATTTTTCTTTGCCACATGATAGTTGACAGCTTAAGATATCATATCTAAAAATTTAAGTTATATTTGATGGTTAATTTGTTGACCCCCCAGCCTCCTTAATCAGTAATCATTCTGAATTTAGTAAGTCAAATATATTACTTACACTTTAGTTAAATGACATACAAATAAGAAAAAAATGTACATTTAATTAGTAATTCCTAAGAATTTATGATTGGAAGTAAATGTAGTACAATGTACATGATAAGCCACGGATTCATTTTGAAAGACATGTTCAAAATACAGGATTTAGAATGTTTTTTTTTTTTTTTTGCTGATTGCTGAAACAAACATCTGCAATAATAATAATAAAAGGGTTTTAACCTGTTCTAATGTTATACACGTGTTTTGCTTGAAATGCATCAATTTTGATGAATGGAGAGCAAGTAAAATAATTTCAGTTTCAAACACACAATTGTATACCTTTTATAAATCGTGCTTGTTCCTCACGTTGTTTACCATAAATCTTAGTGACCAGATATATCAGAAAATGAAAAACAAGTGCCCCTAAGCAACATATCTTGAAATGAACAGGAAATATTGTTCTGATTGTGTACTCTTCAAGAAAATTTGACTGTAATTGTGACCAGTATATTCGGGATTTGTCGTGTACAGAATCTGCCGTTTTCCTGAAAATATAAGTAAATGATTGTTTATATATTCTGGTGTGTATATGAAAACAAATCAAACAGAAGTTTCCACAATGACATTTTAACTTGAAGATTAATAAGTAGCTACATACGTGTAAATTGCTATTAGCATGTTCAATAGCATCAAAATAGCTATTAGACAGTATATGGCCCTCAGATAAGGAGACAATAGAGCTCCTAGATAGGATGGACACCTTTGTTGTACCCCCTGCGAATATAATGTGGCGTTGTCTGTGCAGTCATTACCTAAAAATAAACATGCCTGATTCACACTGTTATTCCGCTGACTGTCGACGAATATTGATGCATTGAAATACATTATTGTATAGAATAACAAACAACTACAGATCTCTAAAAAAATTAAACAATGCACATTGTGAAAAGGGTAAAAAATAAAACAAATCAAAGGACAGAGCAAAGGGAATGCCTAGGATAAGTAAGCATACCCATTCGACCAGTAACGTTTTGGACCTTCTGTATTGGTCAGATAAACGAAGTGATCGGTAGACTATTATGTATGAAAGTAATGGCCTATCAATTAATGTATGGGAGAAGCCAGTCAACACTCGACCTTAGTCGAATTAAATAGAACGAACTGAGAGCAGAATAGACAAGAACTTCTGAAAGCATCAAGGATAGGATCGGATTCTAAGGAGCAACGGTCCACTGTCGACTGATCACGCCTGCCATGAGCCCTTTGTCTTGATCGGGTAAACGGGGAAATTCATAGACTATTCAGTATGAAAATAATGGCCTAACCATTTGTATGAAAAACGCCAGTCAACACTTCACCAAACGTAAGGTTGTCATTGCATTAAAGGTCATTGTATTGATCATACAATTTGAAAACCGTTGACTTAAAGGGAGATTATTTATCTTCCTGTACCATCAACGTGTTTGGCAATAGCTTACCTAAGTTTAAAAACAATTTGTTCTTGCTTTGGGAATCATCTCAGAGACATAAAGACCATATGCAAGTGATAAGATATATTGCAAATAAAAATAAATAAATTTGACAAAGGAAAATTAAAAGTCATCATGTTTATTATGGAAGTAGTTATTAGTTTGTTATCAGCCTCTTTCTTTAGTAAAAAATCTTAAGAACATGTAAGAAAAATACGTTTTAACAACTATCCTTTTGATGTTAAAGCATACCAGCATCTTCCTGGAAGTCACCGTAAAGGGTCCAATAACCATTTCGGAAAATATTTTCTATTTCCGTCCATGTGAACTCTGTGTTTGGATACAGGAGGGCATAATCCACCACATTGTAGCACATCATTATAACAATCATTATAGCCATGAAGGCAGATGTTATCTTTATCTGATAGAAAAATGTAGAAAAAAAACCAAATGAAAGAACATAAAAAATATTGATTTATGAAGATTTAATTCTGTGATTGGTAGACAGACATTATAAAAAGTTTGAAATTTAATCATTTCGTGGTTTGAGATGAATTTTTGGGTATTTTTGTAACAAGAAGACTGCAACAAATAATCACCAAGAAAAATTATTGGTTTCAAAGTAATGAAGAATTCCAAAATGAGTAAAACACATTCTGAAAACAGGTATTTAATTGAAAAATTCCTGTGTAGAGAGCAGTACTCGAAAGCTTCTATCATCATAACTTACTTCTAATTAGCATATGAATAAGGTTGTTTAATCTAATACAGTGCTATGCCCAATTATTCACCTTTGTCTAATGACTAGTGCATCAAGTACATATTAGTTATCCCCCTTTGCTTCATATTTATGCATGCGCGCTGTCTGCATCTTCCTTTTGAAGCTTCCATAATAACGTAAGATTAGTGTATGTTAAACCCATTCTATCCTACCACTATATCTAATTGCTAGTTTTGCCCCGAACTAAGAATTTTTACTTTCAGAGATTTGTGTCTACCATTCCTTCAAGATATATTAAGATATATCATTGGAATTCATGAACTAAAGAAATAACATTCTTATACGGTTGTGTGGCATTGTGACATTTTGAAATTGCTTATGAGCGGAACGGAAAAAAATTATGATGAAATATAACAATTTTCATGTCCTTAACCTCTGAAGGTCCTAGTGGCAAGGTCATAAGTTGCTTGAACACTGCACCTCCTGGAAGCTAGCTTTCTTTAATATCATTGTGAACTTCGAGCAGTGAATATGGAAAAATCTGTAATTGGTTAGTCGGGAAATTTTTTTTAAAAAAATGTGCAAATTTCCATAACATTTCATTCGCAATTTAAAAATAGACCTCTGAATGTTGCTACGTTATAACTTTTTCAAATATTAATCTCAGCTGATTTGGAAGTACATGTAATTTATTAAAGTTCTCCGGATTGGGCTCAATGGGGGCTATTGGACAGTATTAAGTATACATTGCTGTTTAAACACCAAGTATATACCAGCTTGTCTTTATTTTTTATTTAATTATTTTTTCCTTTTGAAATTGACATAATATATATAATGCCGCATACACATATTATTTCAACCCCCTTTTTTTTAAGTTTTCTTGTGTATTTTTATAGAGTTTACTTTAAGAAAAAGGGTCATGAAATTGTGTATTTTGATACGATTAATCAGTTCATCGGTCGGAACATCTTGCGGTAAACCGATTAGGAATTCTGTATTCGATTTCCATCTCTACTTATGAGATAAATCGTATTTGCAAATTATAAGCCCAAATGTACAATCCAATTAATATACACATTCATACCTATATCGCATTGAATTACATAACATTGCGCTAATCAAAACATCGAAAAATCAAATCTGATTTGTCATTTACTAAGTATACACAAAAGTGCATGAAAGTTGATTATGAAAGTTTATCCTACTAAATATTGAGTTATTTTAACATCCTTTATATTCATTACATTTTATTTAACAATGCACACAGATGAAATTTCTGCTATAAGTGATATAAATCAATACGTACTTTTTTCTGAATTATAACAAGCTGAGAACCGAGGAACTCTGACGTCCAAAACATGTTTAGAACCCGTATGTTGAGCATGATATATGAGACCAGAAACATAATCTTTGCAAACCCTTGCAGAAAATCATCCTCAAACAATAACTTTACAATAAATCCAAGAAACGATGTTAATATTATCAATAAGTCGAGGCGATTCCACATGTCCTGGCCGTATTCCGTTAAGAAACTTTTTTCTCTCTTTCTTTTACTGTCACGGTAAACAGCTATACATATCTGAAAATACGTATTGTTACATTTAGTACTCTCTGGAATGAGCCTGCAAATTAATGATTGCGATAAAAATGACAAATTTTTAACAGATTTATCAGGTGATAGTTCATTTTGACATATCTATGTAGTTTTTTTTTAATTTACTTTGCAAAGTGATTATCCCTTCGGGCTAATGAATTCAAAGGTATTATCACATGTCCACGGTGTTTTGTACAGTAAACCGGAAAGCTCATTCGGTCATTATTTCTCTCAACAAACAATAATTTTCATTGATAAAATATTTTCATGACTTTTTAGTTTGATTTTTATTAAGGTTCATTGATACTCTGATAAGAGAGATAACACTTAAAGGTGCTTAGACACAGATTTGAACTTAATATTTTCTCAAATTTTCTGTATAATATCACGACGTATATATTGCAATAGCATTTCACACGAAAATATACTTAAAAACTTATTTTAACTAGAAATTATTGGAACTACGAATTCCGGAACGAGTTTGATTAACACATCTTTGCACTTACACAAATTTTAACCTTTTCCTTAATATTCAAGAAAAGAAGCGATTTTGTTATGTATTAATGAAAAAAATTACATCTATAAGCCAGATAAATCAGAGTAGAAATGTTCGAAAGCAAAACCAACTCACCAGTTTTGTCAGTCCGTGCTCTGTGATGTGTACAGAGTTTAACAATTTGAACACACCCGTGAAACGTAAACTGTTTTTGTAAACAGGGCACGAGCTCCGTTATTGTTAATGTTTACGATTCACCGGGCGTGTTCAATTGTTAAACACTGTACAGACCACTGAGCACGGACCTACAATACTGTGAGTGGGTTTTGCTTTAAAACATTTCTAATCTGAATTTTCTGGGCTATAGTTTTGATATATTTCATAACTACACAACAAAATTGCCACTTTTCTTAAGTATTAAGAATAAAATTAAAATATGTGAAAGCGCAAGGATGTGTCAATCCAACGCGTCCAGAAATTCGAAGTTTTAATAAGATTTTTATTATATTTTAGTATGAAATGCTATAGCAACATATAAGTCATGAAATTATACAGAAAATTTGAGAAAATATTAACTTCAAATCTGTGTCCAAGCACCTTTAATGTCATAAATGTCTATAATTCCTTTATAATTTTTTCAAGCTTAAATGTCATTTTTGTCCAATTTTGCCCCGCAAGCTATTATGCTATGTTGTAATTGTTTTTATTTAACTAATAAAATATATTCAGCATAGCTTGTATGCTATACTTTTTTCTATTTATATAATACATTTCTTTTTGAAAATAATAAGAGATTAAGCAACATTTTAAATGAGTTAACAGAGGGTTATGAATTTGAAGTTCAAATATGTGATACGTTTTATATCTTGCTCTTCTTTAGTTCTTTGGTCTTATATTTCAAATTTACATAAACAATACAGCGTAAATAAAACTATACATACCTGCTGAAATTCATCCACAAACTTATTAACAATCCAAAACAGCACAGCAAATTCGGATTGAGATACACCATTTTCCTTGTAGTCAAACAAAAGCATATAAGCAAATGCTGCTAGAAATGACAATAGTCCAACCTAAATAAAAAAAAAATATTTATATTAATAAGTTAAAAAAAAACAACATTATTTTAAAGTATATTTTAATTTTTCTGATAAAAAAAGTTCGTACCGTGTTAACCCATAGTTTCAAAATCGGCGTATGATATTTTTTGTAAATCCTGAAATTAAATATATAAAACAATAATTGCACATATAATCATCATTTATAACAGCTGTTTTTAATATAAGCAGAGATGTACTCATGAAAACTGTTTATATTTTATTTTACATTGAATTAAAACATATATTTCAACAACGATCGGGATACAATTATGTTTATTACGTTATCAAATCCTAGCATTGTTACAACATACACATTGTCAGATCAGTTACAAATAGGAGTTGGAATATCTGTTTTCAAAACACATCAAGTCATATTAACTATAGTGATGTCAACACAATTGTTTTATAGGGAGGATTATTTGTTTTTCTTGATACATGAAGTCAATATCATTTTTCAGAATCTTAAATAGAATCACAAGCCAATCCTTGTTATATAGTTGATCAAGTTTGAGCCAACCAGATTGCTAGAATTAAAAGAATAAATAATAGCATATAATAAACGATTGCCTTTTACAAAAATTGTTATAGCCTCATGTTTGAGAGCCCGATTTGTAACTTTTCAAATAAAGGAGTTTCCCTAAACTACCTTTATTATATGTGAAATTCATTGGTCCATGGAATATGACCTTAAAAATCTTAGGTCTCGTGTCAAAGTAGGTATTGATATGATAAGAAAATATTAAAATGCATGTGTCGAATATGTGAGATTTAAATTGAAAGTTAAATATAAAAAAATAGATTAAGTAGTTCATATGTACCATGAGGGCTTATCCAAAGTAAAGAGCATGAAGGGCATGATAAAAACATGCATGATGCACAAGAACAGTCTGAGAATCTGTAAAAAGAAAAGAAAATTAATGAATTAACTCTGAAATCAAGCGTTAAAAATTTTATTTTGCAATTTTCAAGAAATTCTTTTTTCTCTAAAAATGATTTTAAATGTTTGTCCCCCATATTAGCATACTGTGAAATCATTAGTTATCGTGGAGATTTAAATGTTTGGTTGTGAGGAGACACACGAGTTCATGTCCACCAGGAAACATACATGACAAATCAACACTTCTACAACCAAGAAATCTATTCCCAAAGAATAAATATTCTTCCCTGCACCTCATTATCCACTATAAGTACAGAAAAAAAAAATCATTTTAGCACAAATGACCTATCATTGAGTCAAATGCTGACTGACGTTTTTCATACTAATTGTTATGCCATTATTTATACACAGAAATGTAAACGGATTTTTCTGGGTTTTTTTTCGATCATAAAAAGGAGCACACGGCAGGGAATGCTCACTCCTCCATAACACCTGATCCCACCTCTAAATATTGAGGTCCGTGTTTGCTCTGCTCCAAATTTGTATCGTTTCATTAGACTTTCGAGAATGAATACTGTTCGTTATCTTCATATTTCATTAGTAGAGAATCATTCTTCTAAGAAATGCTAGTACATACTGTGTCTATTTTCCTTCTTGTCTGATATTCCTCCCCATACCAGAGCTCTTTAATGATAGTTTTCAGCTTGGGATTTTCCAGAAAACATTCATTCTTTGTTTTATATGCAACATCCAAATAACCATGATTCAGTAGTAGTCTCCCAGCCTTGTTAGACACCTCATCCTCTTTGATGAAGAAATGTTTTATATTGTTTATCCACCCGGTGGGACTTTTTAGCCTTTCCAGTTCGTCCTTCTCTTGGATGTAATTCATGATGCTAAAAGCGTGTTGACTGAATTTTCTGAAAGAATGACTCTGGTTTTTAATGAGACTTTTAAATGAATAATACCTTTCCAATATTCCACTACGTCCCAAACTTGGACTTGAAACTGCACCAAGTGGACATTAATTAGACGATTTTGGTATGGAATAATTTTTCATTTTAATCATGCAGCAAAAGCTTACTTGGTGTCAATAGAAAACTGCAAGAAAGTGATTTATGAATATGGAAGTTTTTTCTTCAAAGTACCAACCGAAGGCCCAAATTTTACACAAAGAGGGAAGACTTTTCACATTTTTGGTGAACATCTAACGGCTCAATATATTCTTGTTAACATTGTTCCTGCTAGTTGTTTACATGGAAAAAAAAGAAATTCAGATTCGAGGAAAAAAAATTCCGTTGTCTAATTGTCTAATGGACTACATCTTGCAACCAATGTCAGTAAATATGTAATTTATTATGAAATACCTGCTTATTGAACATTTGCAAAAACTTACTCTGTTAAATTTCCAAATATATAGAGAAAGCTTTTTGTTTGTTATTTACCCATACAACCAATCAATATACTTAAAAAAATATTAACAATTCTAATTAATTTCTGTAGCTTTGCCCCCATCCTTCATACTGTAGGATTGATTCGGAGATTTCAATATTTTTGCTCTGCTTCATCCATAAACACATAAAACCGAAATTTGTAGATAGTTTAGCCATTTGAAGAAAGCTGCAAATGTTTAGAAGTTACAAAAATTGAAACAATAATAAAGTACTTTATCGCATACATTGCCAAATCTTCAAAATCCTTTTTTTCAGTCTCCGAAGTTCTCCATTCCTCTGTGTGATTGGTTAATATCTTACATCCAATCAAAATTGATCTTACACCAACCTGTTTATCAATAAATTATTTATAATAGTAAATATGGTTATAATGTACATGTGATAGATGATAAGTAATTATCATTAATTGATAAAATAGTTAAGTGGTGAGACCAGGTATAGGGTTGTGCATTGTTGTGTTTCTTTTTTGAGTGTCTAAATGATAAACTGCACTAGTATGATGATGTTTAGATTACTGATGCCTTGCTTAACACCTTTGAGAGATAGTTGCAGGTCTTTTAGATGAGACCTTAAAAACCGAGACCCCGTGTCACAACAGGCGTTGGTACAATAAAGAACCCCCACTGCTCAATGGTCCTGAGTGCCGGGTAAGAGTCTAAATTTAAAGCTCTTCACTGGTATATGGTGATGTCATTATATGAGTGAAAAATTTTCGAAAGGGACTTCGTAAACAACATACAATCAATCAAACTGGACTTTGGTTTTCAATAACAAAATTCATAATAAATCTAAAATTAACAAAAAATACAGTTTTATCAAGTTAAGATTTCAAAATCCCGGAACTCCATTGTTATTACAATTCCAAGGTATAGAAATTAATTCAATATCTATATGTTCGCTTCGTGATCGAAAGGTCGTGTGTTTAAATCACTGCCGCGACTGATGGAAGTCGATAAAAAATAGGTAGCAACTGTTTCTTCGCCAAACGCTCGGCACTTTGAAGTGAAAGTAGCGTGTCCTTCGGATGAGACCTTAAAAACCGAGGCCCCGTGTCACGGTTGGCGTTGGCAAGGTAAAGAACCCTCACTGCCCAATGGCCCTGAGTGCCGAGTAAAGGTCTATATTTGAAACCCTTCACCTGTATATGGTGCCGTCTCTGTATGAGTAAAAAATTCTCAAAGGGAACGTTAACCAAAACTTTACGTAGCACAACCCCTGACATATACTGTGTGAAATTTGAAGACCACTACATTTGTGCTTTTTACCTAGTTTGACTATTCCATTTTGTTGATAAACAATCAAATAGATGGACTGCTTCCTGACTTTAAATAATTTCCTGACGTGAAATTATACATAGAATATATAGATATGGGTTGTGACCATTGTTGAAATGAAAAAAAAAGATGTGAAGGTATTGTACGGTATATTTTCTATTACCTGAAATGTGCTTTTCCTAACATGGACTCACAGAACAGAAATTAGAGTTATAAGTATAAAAGATCAAATGTCTGTTTAATTATGCTAGGAAATGATTAATCTTTCCGTATAATTCTTTTTTTTAAACCGAACCTGAAACAAAATACTTACACATCCCTTTTCTATAAGTTGTGCACCTCCAGCTAACTTTTTCTTTTTTAAAAGGGCAAAGAACACCAGATCAACCCCCGCGCAATCTTTTTTGAGTATCAATTGAGCATCTACAAAAAAGTAATTGGACAGATTCCACTGGAAAGTATCAACGGTGAAACTCGTTTAAAGAGAACATATATATATATTTTTTAAGGTAAAAAACATAGATTAAACATTTTACCACACAATACTAGGGAATTAAAAAAAATTATCGTGACACAGCGATAATTCAAGCTAGCGCTTCACTCCTAATGTCTGTGTTTTTTGAAAAATCTACAAACAATAGATTTGTAAACAGGGCATAAAAGACTGTCCCCGGACATTCTAGAGATGGAATCAGGTGCCTAGGAAGAGTAAGTTTCCCCTATTGACCATCACATTCGCCTTTATACCTAAGTATTGATCAGGTAGACGGAAAAGTCCATAGTAAAATTAAGTGTAAAAACAAAAACCTATGTTGCTATGAATCATGTCAGCCAAATTACTGAATGTGTTTATGATTTTCATTATCTACTTTTTTGTTATTTTTATAGTTTATGTATCTAATACTACCCTCTGTTTGTTTGGGTGGACGGTATGCTGATTTTGTTGTTGCCTTTATATCTTCCCAAAGACCGGATTTGAATTCATCCTTCATATTCTGTTCCACAGAAAGAAATAAGTAATGAAATATTCAGATGCTATATCATTGTAGAATAAAATATATCAAGCACGATTACACTATAAAACTTCTTAGCATCTAGAAATTAACATGAATTATAAACATATACATAATCATAAATTAATCAATATCAAACATCAGTTTCCAAGTTAGCAGAACCATATTCGGTCTACTGAGATTTAAAAAAAAAATACACAAATACAAATATATAGTGATTTGAAAAAAGGCCTACCTTTTCATAAATATATTCTATTGATTTCTGAGCGAATATATCATCCAGAGTCTTGAGCGTACTGATATATTCCCCTGGAAACATCCACTGACCCTCCTTTAATAACTGACAGGATAAGCATCTAACATAGAGCAGCATCTCTCCTCTCTGTAGATAAGTGTTATTTTTCAAAAGAAAAGGTAAATGTTTTAGGGAATTGGAAATATCTACGACACAAACTAAATGGTAATACATTATAATACGTTATAATTATTGTTTGTTTGCTGTTTATTGTTTTCTGAATCAGTCTATTCATAGTAATTTCGAAGAAATGTTTTCTTTGATTCGTTTGGAGATCGTCTTTCAACAATCTGTCGGAATTCCCATGGGTAATATTTGCGTCCCGTCATTAGCAGATCTATTTGTGTATTCATATGAAGCAGAATATCGTCAAAAACTTCTAATGAAAGAAAAAGTCTCTTGCTGTGGCCTTCAGTTCATCATTTAGAGATATTGACGACGTTTTATCAATTCACAATGTTTATTTTCATTCCTACGTTTCTTGAATATATCCCTTTGAGCCCAAAATAAAAGATACCAGAGAATCTGACACATCTTTTGCTAATTTGGATATTTTACTAGAAAAAGACGTTATTGGTAATATAACACCAAACCTTTATTATATTCGTGATGGCTTCAACTTTTCTATCGTCAACTTCTCTTATTTATGTAGCAATATACCCTTATCACCGCATATGGAGTTTGTCTCCAAGTTGATTCGATACGCAAGAGCATGCTCTACGTACGAACAATTTCTAAAACGAGACAATCTATTGACTAATAAGTTGATGAAACTTGAATATTAACAGTCTCTTTTAATGTCAACATTTCGTAAATTCAACGGTCGATACAAAGACCTTGTCTACAAATACAATTTATCATAAAGTCAAATGTTGACTGACGTTTTTCATACAAACTGTTAGGCCATCATTTTCACACTGAATTGTCTACGGATTTTCCCGTTCAACCCGATCATGACAAGGAACACGCAGCGGGTGTGACCGGTCGGCATGGGATGCTTACTCCTCCATGGCATCTGTCCCACCTCTGATGTTTTTTTAGAAGTCCGTGTTTGCCCTGCTCCAGATTTGTATTGTTTCAGATGACTTTTGAGATTGAATACCGTTCGTTATCTTCATATTTCACGTTCATATTGCAAATTATATATTAGCATAAAAATATATTGAATTATTACCATGATTAGAAGTTTAATACAGATATACATGGTGAAAAAACATATCTTAGTATATCAGAAATTACTTGCCGGAACAGTTTGTGATCTTCTACGTAGGCACTTTAATTTGTGAATCACAACTGTTAGAAAAAAGGTGAAAGATCAAAACAATGAATGAACGTAATCAGAATTAAAATAAACAGTTCGTTCATTACTAAATAAATAATGTTACGTTCAGCTTTAGAAATTCTGTATAATTGTAATTCATCTCACAACATACTCCTCCATGGCACCTGATCCCACCTCTGATGTCTCAGAGGTCCGTGTTTGTCTACTCCTATTTTGTAATGTTTAATGCACTTTTTAGCTCGAATACTGATCGTTATCTCCACATATTTCAAAGAAGTTCAAATAAATTTAGAGTTTCGTGTTCGTGTATTTCATCGTAAAATATTGACGTTCTGAATTTTGTGTGCATGTGTTTTATCCCCAACAAGTATTGATTTCTTTGTACTTGTCTACCATTGTCCCACCAACAAGTATTAGATTCTTTGTACATGTATACTGAAAGGAACATGAAAGGCAGGGTAACACAATATGGAAAAAGTCTTAAACTGCATGGCCGAAATTTACGAAACTTGGTCAAAGGAGTATCTTGCTAAATATGCACGCAAATCGATGTTCAGAATTACTCAACCGTGAAATGTATGACGTCAGGTAGGGAAAATGGTAAAAAGCCAAAAACACGTGCATATTGATGATGGCAGGTTTGTCAACACATCTTGTAATACCACTTGATGCACTGAACTGAAGATATAAACATCTTTTTTCTATATTTAAAGACAATTTAAATATTTTATAATCACAGTATGGCTGACAGAAGTTCCATGGGGATTGACTATTGCATTGCCTAAGTAAAGAAAAAGGAAAGAACAGGTTTCTGTGCTGTTTGTTGTGAATTTTTAACTATAGAACGTCTAATTCGTCGTCAGAGAGGGACTTGAAATGTTTTCAATCAACAATGACGATAACATTGGCGCTTAACAACGCCACGTTAAGATTGGGCTATTCATCCTGCCATCTGTGTAATCGCCACTTAGGACCACTGAAATACAGTGGCAATCATAATCATTACATCCACTTAAAACCTGAAAGAAATCCACTGCGCTATTTTGGCTTGTGAGCTCGTCAACTTTGCGCCAGTGTTCCTCTCACTCGCGCACGTGTGCGCATTATGCCTAATTTTGCAGCTTGTAAACCCACGGCCCAATGTAGCCAGAGTTTGTCAAGATTTTCTCGCAAACATTCACATTAACCCACTCGATTGGTGTTCGTATAATACATCTTTTTTTTTCTCCAGTCGAACATCTGTGGAACTAACTGGATGCTACAGTTTAAGAGCGTCGGAATATCCAAGCTACTCTCGAGAAACTAAGCGCTGCCTTGTCGAAAGCGTTGAATAATATCCCTTCGAGAAAGACAAATGCACTTATAATGAACTCCATGCAGAAGAGAATTAACTGTGACAAATGTGCGAGGAAGGAATAGGAGATAATGAGAATTTTCGATTTTTACTTTGGGGGAGGGGGGTACCGTCATTTGAGTTTCAATAATTCATGAATTATTCAGGAATAATCGGTCAAAATCAAATGAGATTTTGCTTACTTTTTGATAAAAGATGAGTTTGAATGTTAGGTAACAATACTGGAAAATATGTTCGAAAATATCATATTAAATTACTTCAAAAATTTACCATGCGTTTCTTTTTACTTTCAGTATATATTCTAGTTCCATCTACAAGCATTGAGTTTACACTGTGTAAGTGTATTTTTGTCTTACTAACTATTATAATTATTTTATCCTACCACCAACAATTGTTGAAGATACAAGGAGAACAAAGTCTTTATTGATTGCTTTGGAAAGCAAACATCGTTGGTCATCAATATCTGTTGTTAATGCTTGATCTTTTTGCCATTCTCGTACAATCCATGGTTTAGTCCGATCTACTTCATACTTATTTTCCTGTTTTACTTGCTTATCTTTTGAAGTGCTAGGTTGAGTCGTATTCACTTCAATTTCATTTGCCTCTGTTACATACAGATCTTCATCTGTTGTAGTATCACTGTTTGGACCGACTGATGCACAATTTTTACTACAGCACCCTCTGAGAAAGCAATAATCTACAAAGAAAATAGAAAATGAACACCTGAATTATTATGAAATGAAACTTCATTTTGGAAGATACTTATGAATAGATAAATGTTAGATTATAAAAACATACTATGACACTGTGGCTATATTTGAAAAACCGTCGAGATTTTTCAATAGGGCTGGTGCATTTTCTACTAGAGGTCAGAATGTTTTGCTTTAAATTCTAGAATGTTGCTACATCATCTCTGACAGTAAGAAATTTTGCAATGAAAATGTTTTTTACAGTTTGTTCACATAATAAATTTCTTTAAAGCGAAATATAAAAGAGAGCCGGTCTGTTCAGAAGCATTTCAAACGTACATTATTATTATATTAGCTATATAACATTCATATTGTAAAGAAGGTTAACGAGAGAACCATACTTTAACACTTAGACAAATCGTACTAGTGATATCATAGAATGTTCAATATTCTTACTTTTATCATTTTGAGAGTTGAACTCGCAAACGCTGCATGTTACTTACCAGTGTTTAGTTTTTCCGTACTTTTTGAATTTCCTTCTTTCTTTTTACTGTCTTTTTTAATACTAGATTCTGAGCTCCATGAAACGGATATATAATTAGAATCCTGAAAGAAGTTAGAGATTTAAAAAAAAAATGATAGAATTATCTATACAATTTATTTCAACGCTAAAAGAAATAATGAAAAACGATATGAATAAAATGTCAATGTTTACAAATATTAAAAAAATAAATTGTATTCACCTTGAATGATAAAATTGGTATTTCCTCCTCACGGACTTTATCTTTAATGGATTTGTCTAACTTTTCAGTTTCGTATGACGTCACAATCACGGGCATAACCTTTTCTCCAAAGAAACCTTTATAAAAAAATTGGCGTAATCAGCAATAATCAGTGAAAAGACAATCCACTGATTTCGACAAAAATAAATCTTTTATTGCTGTTTTTCAACTGTGAAATTTGAGTCCTAAGAAATATGCATATCAGAAGTGACAATATATGATGCTTCATAACTGTAATGTCAAATGCGCTATGCAGTAGTAAAAGAAAAGCTAATATTCATTGTTTTGAAATCAGAATATTTCATACTTCATATCGCTTAAACACATACATTTATGACAATGATAATTTTAAAAAAAAATCCTTCGTAATTACTTGTTTTAAAATTTTGCTGATAAGAACATACTTTGCCTGCGACAAAAACGATATTGATAACTTCCCTTTTATCACAAATCATAGTCTCTTTCATTTCTGATGAAACCTTTACATTGTATTAGTAAACAGATAAATTAAAAATAAATTAAAAATTCTTTGCCCTGTAAAATACCCCTTGGTTTACTAAAATATCTCTCTGCATATATTTTGAAGCTTGAAACAGGTATAGTTTATATAACATAATCGCGATCTAAGAATAATGAAATAATTTTTGTTTATTTCATCCCCCAAATATTTAAAATTAGTATTGATATTTTAACATTTTCTTGTAGATAATTTTCGGTTGAAAATGTTAACTCAGTTTTCCTTTCAATTCTCTTTACCAAAACAAAGCTATGCAATAAAGGTTTGTTCTCTAGCAAATGTTTCCGGGATATTTCTGTATTGTGGCTTTCCACAGATCTCAATTTTTTAATAAACAGTGTATTCTTTTATCAAGGAGGATCAAATTCGAAATGCGCAAGATAAAATCATCCTTTACTCTTAAAACTAGAAAAAATAAACATATTTTATTGTTTTAGAAACATGGCAGATATCATTTTTTTAATTTTTATTTGTAAACGATTACAAAGGTATTTTAAATTTTAAAGCTAAATTAAGGTAATGTCTCTTACGTTCGGCCATGTCAATAAAGTAACCAATGTTAAAGCAAGTTTTATTTCTTTGCAGGAGTCCCTTCTTCTTTTTCTTTCCTCGTCTATCAACATTTCCTTTTCTTTCATCATTGTTGTTTCTACTTTCTTCTTTCATAACTTTGAACATTCTAAAGCCGTTCTCCAGCAATTTCTAGAAGGAAGAAAAAAGTTACATGTATTTTTTTTCGAATGCGTTTTGGTTCTGAGAGAGAGAGAGAGAGAGAGAGAGAGAGAGAGAGAGAGGCTTACTGTAATTGTTTCCTTCCTTGTCTTTTCATGCACACCACAGCTTTGAATGTTTTCTTGACGATTGTGCCACAGTATAATTTTCTCATGAACAAAGTGACAGGATATTCTTGAGTGTCCTATTGTAATAAGATAAATATCTCAGAAGAAAACAAGCGTAATAACAATTTTGTACAATGTATTTAATGTTCAAATATCTGTTGATATGGACAAATAATACTATAGTAAACTTAAGTTAAGTATTTTTTACTATACCTAACTGTATTGAATCAAAGTTCAAACATCACCACTATAGTGTCAAACATTTTGTGATCACTTTTATAATTAGCAAATCAAAGATTTCAAAGTTATCACTATAGTAAATAAAAGTGTTAAAGTTATCAGTATATTTTTCTATGGTATTTTTGGTAGGTAGTATATACTGATTTTAATTTTACTTCGACCATATTTGATGCAAAAATAAAATTAAGTACTTAGAACACTCAAAACATCTTGAAATAGATCCTCCTTTTCGTCTACGAAGATAAAGTGCAGTGCTGGTCTGTAAGAGTTTTCCCAGTCCACTGACGCTCCTTTATGCCAGACATGAACTTGAATTTTTGAAAATTGTTCCTATCAAAATCAAAAAAGTGACTTGAATATACAAAATATGCACTAGAATCCGGATATACTTGAAAGTCAATACTTTAAACATCTTGGGATATTCGAATGAAGTTAAAGTAGATCACAATGGATAATGAACAGTGATCATGCTCAAAAGTCTTCTAAAACATTACAAATTGTAGACAAACAGAGACTTCTGAAAACAGAGGTTGGATCAGGTGCCTTGGAAAAGCATCCCCTGTCAACCGGTTACGATTGTGTATC